GTGGGCCGAGGGGGCATCAGCTAACGCTGTTCCTGTCTCCAGCACCGACACACTCCTTGCAGGCAGCTGCTGCCCAGCTGGAAGAGCGTGTGTTGTCCGGCCTGGAATGGGAACGCATATTGCCCTAGAGTCTTTTGAAAGGCTTAAGTCTAGTATCTTCTACACTGAGGAGAGGAGACCTGGCAACGGGCTGTGGGATCCACCTTCACTAGAACCACGGCTTGCACAAGTGCCCCACTTGTGTCCTAGAGCTTAGTCCTCTGGCATCCATTGCCCAGGGTGCAGACATCAACTTGGAAGGCTTCCTACCTGCTTTGACTGACACCTGTTATCCTGTGGTGTGCTAGGACGGGCCTGTCTGGCTGGGGCTTTTCTCCTGCCCTTGGCCTTGGCTGATCTGTCTGCTGCTTAGCATACACTCTGGTACGGCTCCAGACCTTCGCCCCTCAGCACTAGGCATCCAGCTTCTATCCTGGTTTACTGTGTGGGGATGCTGCCCGCTCAGGGGCCAGGGACTGCTCCCCGATATATACTTCCCCCTGGATGTATCTGACTACCAGGACGTAAGCGCCATGAGGACGTGGCTTGGCTGCGTCACACAGGGCCCTCTCCTAAGCACCAGCTCGGTGTGGGGGCTCCACGCGTACTCCTAACGGGTCTCCTTGCTTCTGTCCTCACCCGCCGTAGTTTTTTTCAGAGCCATCCTGTTAAAGCATAGGCATCCTCATGTCACTCTGTGCTTGAAACCTCCAGTGGCTTCCCATAGCACTCAGAGTAGAAGCCAACATCTTGCAGTGGCCTTCACGGCCCTTCAAGGCCCCTGTCACTCTGAACTCGGCCCCTACTCTTCCCCCACCTGCCGTGCTCCCGGCAGATGGGCTGGCCACAGGGCCTTTGCACCAAGGCTCCTTTTCCGGGACCCTCCTTTCCTGGGGGGCAACGTGGCCCCCTCTTGCCTCCTTCAGGTTTGCCCTTTCCTGGGCACATTTAAAAGTGTAACTGCCCTCCCACCGCCCCCACACTCCAGCTTCCCCTTCTCTGCTCTGTTTGTCTCCAAAGCACTCGTGACCATCTGTCATACTGTGCATCTCACTTGTTTGTTTTATGTATCATTTCTCCCCCTCCCCACCCCTAGAATATAACTCCTGTGAGGCAGGAATTCTCGTCTCTTGTTCACAGCTGTGTCCTCGCACCTAGAACAGGGCCCTGTAGACAGTAAGTGCTCAGTAATTGTTCACCCGATGAATGAATAAAGCAAGGCATCTTCCATGTTGTTCCGCTGGGGTCTCCAGATCTGCAGAACGATGCCCACGCTGAAACTGAAGCAGGGCCAGCACCCCGGCCCTCAAGCTGTGTCTTGTCCTCTGCCTCCTGTCTCTGTGAACAGCTCCTCTTCGCTTCCATTCCCCCTGTGTGCATGCCCAGGCTGGGGGAGGCCGTGCCTCACCGCGCCCAATGGCCCGAGAATGTCAGAAGGTGAGGAGCTTGCCGAGAAGCGCAGGCAGAGGGCAACTTTAGGAGGCGACAATAAGGGCACCCACACTGACTGAGCACGCCCCTTGTGCAGACACTATCCATATCTCATTTGGCTCCATGACAACACCGGGAAGCGGGTTTTGTTCTCTTGGTCTACAGAGGCGATCAAGGCCAAGTGTGTTGTTTAGGTGCTAGAGCTGAGATTTCACCCCAGAGTGGCTCTCGCACGTCCCAGTTACCTGTATGCCCTTGAACTGTGTCACCTCTCAACCTGTTCCCATCATCTGTTCCCTCTCCATCATCCTGCTAAGCTGCATTGACTTGGTTTGCTGGCCAGCCCAGTGGTCATCTTCCTTTGACAATGTGGGTGTTTTCCTGTGTCTCAGGGGTCGAGGAATGCTCCTCTGTGGTGCTGACCTCTGGGTGCTGGAGGTCATCCTGTGTGTCAGCTTCAGGGAGTGCGTGGGTAGGCACAGCAGAGAGTGGGGATCAGAGGCCATTTGGGGGAATGAGCAGTCGTCCTGTTGTGTGACTATCCTGGGATTCTAAAACAAGCGGTAACGAGGGCCTGCCGGGCACAGCCTGGGTGATGGGTCCTTAGTGTGAATCTCGTCTATTTTGAGCTTTATGAATCACAAAACAGGGAGTCAACGCAGCCAAGAAAGGGCACCCCTGAGGAATGAGCAGATGGATTCCTGGGCCTGCCACCATCTCAGGAAATCAGGGCTTTGGTTTCCCCCAGTCTCTTCCCTTGTAGGGTGAGAGATAACAATAACCCGCCTTCTCCCTCCCCATGAGTCTGAGAGTCTGATGGGGATAAATGAAATAATGATGCTTAAGCTTCTTGCTCCTTGGTGTAAGTTGATGTATAAATCCAAGGAAATATGATGAGCTTAACTCCTCAAAATAATAAGCACCCAGAAGAGAAAACTGCACATTTGTATTTTTAAAGAAAAACTAGAGGCAGGTAAAAAAAAAAAAAAAATCTGAGCACTCATGATGTAGCAGGAGGATTGTCTGCCTTTGTCTGTGGGATTTCTTCCTCCCTTTTGCACCATAACTCTATCTCCAGGCCTCTTGCGTCAGAGAGAGCCCGTGATGGATGGACGGATGGATGTGCCTTGTCGGGGTGTTTCACCACGATTTCCCTTGGGGCAGTCTGTCTGTTGGCGGAGCACAGCCTCCCGAAAGATGGTATCTCTTGCAAACTCGACAGCTAACAGACAGCTCCTCTCTTTGTATATTTCCCCAAAGAAGAACTGTCTTAATCTGTTTTTTATACGGCATATTTTATTATAATCCATATATAACTTGCAGGTTCCCAGTCCTCCATCCTGAGCCAAAAAATGCACACGGAGTCAGAGGCTCTGGGAGCCTGTGACATCCAGGCGTTTGCATTTTCAAATGACCTGGGATTTAATTACTCACTGTGCTCCCATGTTGCACTTTCGGGCTCATCTCACCAGCATCCTGTTAATGAGCTCAGTGGCTCCAACCACCCAGTAGAAGCTGTGCTTTCGGTGCATTGGGTGGCAGGCTTGGGGCACCTGTGTCAAAAGCCTGTGGCTTTGATCTCCAACCGAGAGGATGGCTGCCCTGTCCACAGTCCTGAAGAGAAGCCCTTGCTTGTCACTGGCAATTTTTTTCTTTGCTTTTCTTTGTGCTTTTCTTCCTTTTTTTTTTTTTTTTTTTTTTAAAGACTTTCTATGCTTCAATCCTTGTTTGTCTAAGAGGTTTTTTCTTATTTGGAAACCGATTTGCTTTGGTTTGCACAGAAGCCGTCTCTGGTGTGATGGATTGTGCTGGAAGTCACCCAAGGAGTATCTCTGTTCCCAATTAGAAGTGGAGGCAGAGCTGCTTACGGGGGCCCAGGGAGGCGGCTGGCTTGGGTGACAGCAGCTGCTGCTCTGGAGAGAGTAACGATCCGTGGGTTTATATCCGTGTGTATAAAATCAGGCTAATTTAAAGATGAATTATGTGGGTGTGTTGGACCATTTTCTTTCAATGTGAAATGTATGATGGCTCCTGTCCGGTTATGAGGTCCCCAAATTTGTATAAGGGTCAAAATGAATGCACGTTTAAAGTATTACTAAATCCCATATCCAGATGAGGTGTATTAGAAGAAAACAATCAGTGAAGTCCCTAAGGGCTCCCTAGGGAGCGTGTCTAGGATGTACGTTGTGCAAGAGCTTGGACCTGTTACCTTTTTTTCCCTTCACTCTGGGACCTCCTGTGGTCAGGTGCCAGAGAATGTACCCTCTGCTGGTTTGCTGGGAGGGCACTGGTTACTCCATCACCCTGACCTTGCAAACCTTACCCACAGTGCTTTGAAACCAAAGTTTGCCAGTGGGCAGCTAGAATGCTCTCCTGGAGTGGCGCTTGGCTGGGTATTAAGTTGGCAACATTCAGAACCGTACTTAACGTCCTTCCATGTTTTGGAAGCAAAATCATAGCAAATGTTACTTTTAATGCCATAAACCTGCACCAATATGTTAGCTACCAACCACGTGTGACCATGCAACACTTGAAGTGTGGCTAATCTGAAAACGTGCTGTAAGTATAAAATACACACCAGATTTTGAAGACAATGCAAATAAAAGAACGTAAAATATTGAGTTAATTTTTATTCTTATTTATTTTTTTGATGAGGAAGATTTGCCCTGAGCTAAGATCTGTTGCCAATATTCCTTTTTTTTGTTTGTTTATTTGAGGAAGATTAGCCCTGACCTAACACCTGTGCCAGTTTTCCTCTATTTTGTATGTGGGTTGCCAGTGTGGCTGACGAGTGGTGTAGGTCTGCACCCAGGAACTGAACCCAGGAACCGGGGCCACTGAAGTGGAGCATGCTGAACTTAACCACTAGGCCACAGGGCTGGCCCCTGTATTAATTTTTTAATATTGATTACATGTTGAAATAACAATGTTATGGAAGTATTGTGTTAGAGAAAATAGATTATCCAAGTTAATTGTACCTGTTGCTCTTTACTTTTTAAAATGTGGCTACTAGAAAGTCTAAAATTATGTAAGTGGCTTGCATTATATTCTCTTGGACAGTGCTGCTGTACCATTAAAATCAGAATTACTCAAACTTTGAGAATAATAACATGGAGCATTTGTAGGGTACTTACAACATCCTAGGTTCTTTACATATACGATCTAATTTTTGAATCTTAAGTTTTGAATAGAAAAAACCCAAAAATTGATAAGCCCCATTTTCCGCTCTGTTTCTCACACTGGTTTTTTGGGTGGCTCTTGCAGAGTTTCTTTATGCAGTGTATTTCTTTGATTCTCACACCAATACTATGAAAGAGATACTACCATCATCCCCATTCAACACATAAGGAGACGGAAACTTAGGGGCTTAAGTAACTAGCCGATGGTCCCTCAACTGGTCCATGGCAAGGCTAGGGTTTGACTCCAGGAGTGTCTGCAAGCAGAACTTCTATGAACGTATTCAATATTTTGGTAGTTAGGCAAGAAGGATGCCAGTGAATTTCTCTGTGACCCCAGGAAAGTCTTCTTACCTTTTGGTGCTCCACGGTCCTCATTGAGGGGTTGCACTCCAGATGCTGTTGGAAGTCCCTCTAGCTCCTTGTGTGTAGGGAGCCCATTCCATTGTTCCCATTTTGGTTCTCTTCTCCCTCTTGATTCTGATACTGTGTCCATCTGGGAAAGGACCAAAGGGCCAAGAGAGCAGGTTAAATTATGAGAAAGCGGGATGGAGGCATATTTAGCAGGGGAGGAGGAAGGAGCAGGAGGAGGAGGAGGAGGAAGCCCACAATGGATGGGAAATTCTGTGTGGGGTCAACACTGTCGTGGAAAGGTGAACGCCGTATGAGGATGTTCAGACGGAGCAGAGCCCGGAACTGTGGCACAAACCCGCCCCCAGCCTCAGCAAAGACCTGCCTTTGATCTCAAAAGATGAAAACTATGGAGAGGGTCTAGGAATGCAATGAAAATGCACAAAGGTTGGAAAAAGACTTTTCAAAGAAGGACCAAAAAGAGGCAAGATGAAGTCTGTACATCCTAGAGGTGAGGTGAATGGGTTCCAGAGGCAGATCGGAGTCAAGTCAAGTCAAGTCAAGGCTGGACTTTGCTCCTTACCTCCTGGTCATATTAAGCGAGTTCCACACCTCCCTAAGCTGTAGTGTCCTCATCTGTAAAATGGGAGAATAACTGTGCTCGCTTCTTGGGTGGCGGTGGGGATTAAGTGATACGTAGCAACAACATCCGCCGCATTTTGAATGATTACCAGGTGCCAAGCCCTCTGCGTGTACACAAACATATCAGTGCCTGTTGGGGCTGAGCCTGGGCCTGCAAACTACTAGTAAGGATTCAGCAGGTAAGGCTCTCGTCACGGCCTTAATGGCGTCAAGAAAATATCATTTGGCTGCATTCTCATTCCGCTGTGTGGCTTTCCGTGAGGTTACTTAACTTCTCTGAGCCTGAGGTGACTCATTTATAAAATGGGATGGTTAAAGCAGACGATCTTAAGGTCCTTTTTGGCTCTAGAATGCTGTGTAATTCTGGAAACAGAATTTATTTAGTGTTGAGAAGGCTAAGGCGGATACTAAAATATGAACTTCAAATATGTGTATATATGATGATTATAAGTTTGAGGGATGGTGAGCAGCTGTCCTCTTTTGCCTGAGAACAGGACATGAGCAACATGTTTTAATTGTTTTAGATTAGACATTTGGAAGCGTTTTCTGACCTGGGAGAAAGAGTAATATGTCATCGGAGCAGGCGCTGGAGTTGCGCACTCTGAGCTCATTAAAGTAGACAGTTGATGATTTTTCTGACACTCAACTTCAGTGTTACTTCATCACATAGGCCTCCCCTGACTCCCTGGTGTAAAGTGGACCCCCTACCATATTCTTCCTATACATTTCACTCTGTTGTTTTCCTCCATCGCACTTGTGACAATTTGTAGTTGGATATTTATTTTGTATTTAGTGGGTTTTTTTAATGCCTTTTTTGGGGGGGTGAGGAAGATTGGCCCTGAGCTAGCATCTGTTGCCAATCTTCCTCTTTTTTTTTTTTTCTCTCCCCAAAGGCCCAGGACGTAGTCGTGTACCCTAGTTGTAAGTCCTTCTAGTTCCTCTATGTGGGATGCCACCACAGCATGGCTTGATGAATGGTGCTAGGTCCATGCCCAGGATCCGAACCTGTGAACCAGGGGCCACTGAAGCAGAGCACAAGAACCTAACCACTTGGCCCCACCCTGTATTTAGTGTTTAGTGTCTGTAACTTTAGACTGTAAACCACCTAAAGGCCAGGACAGCCTTTGTTAAGTTCACCTCCTGTGTACCTGGTCCCTGCCCAGAGGTTGTCTTGTGCAGGTGTTAAGGAAATATTTGTTGAACAAATGGAGGGATGGATGAGTTTCAGAGGTGGTTGATTTGGTGGCGGTGCTTCTTTGATGGAAGTGGATCCTCGCCTGCCTTTTTTGGTAAGAAAAAGACTTTATCTCTCAAGAGACTCTAGATACTGTTTCTCCTTGCTGCCATCTTCTTTTGGGGACTGGCCCCTGTGGGTGTGTGTTTCTTCAGTTTCAATGGGATGCCCGAGCGCCCCTTCCTTGTGGACTGGTCGGCCTGCGTCTGGTTCTAGTGGAGGAGATGGAACAGGGGAGAGTTCCACTGGAATCAGAATAAAGCCCAGTGGAGCAGGGCCTGATGGTACTGGTTATATCCGTTTACCTCCACTCCCCCACCCACTCTTTGTCCTTCTTTACACTGCCCTGTGACCCAGGAAGCTGACCTCAGCGGGCTGTATGGACGAGTCTCCCTTGCCCTCTGGTGTCCAGTTGAGGTTGGCCAATGGGAATGCAGAGCAGGAAGATGAGTGTGAAAGGAGAGAGACTTTGGGCTACGGGGCCCTGTGCCTTGGTTCTCTCGCCCACGAGTCCCCAGAGGCAGGGCTCTTCTCTGCCCGAGAGCTCTGCTACAGCGCTCTCTCCAGGGTCTTGCAAACCCTCTCTGCCCCTCCAGGAACAGCAGTGTAATGGCTCCCAGTTAACTCCCCTGAAGGGCTGCACCATTCCGTGTTGCTCCCTTATTCCTGCCACACTCCTGTAAACAGTTCATATACTAAACTCTCAATTCCCCCTTACAAATGGGCATTCACTTCCCCTGACTGTTTTCTAGGCCCCACTCCCTCGTGTTCTGGCGCCCATCTTACCTGATACAGGGTAGGGACCATGCATGTAATTGCCAGGGGGTATGAGGTACAGGATCAGAAGAGGTGGGAGGAATATTTTGTAGTGAATCCAAATATGATCACCTATCCTCGAGGTTTCTGTTTTTAACGAAACAAAACTAAACAACCCTCTTTTGGGTTAGGAGTTTGGGGGACATCTTGAGAAAGGGATTCAGCTTCTCTCTCTAGTCTCTCTCATGGGCAGGGCTGGCTCTGTCTGCCACTGCTCACCTGACCCCATGACCTCAAGCCCCAGGTAGCTGGTCAAATTCTGATGTCTTCAGAGAAAGTGCCCTGGTGTGCGGGCACTGCAGCTCCCAGTGCTGATCTGGGCGTGTTAGGCATTGCACTCCTTCTTTCTTCCCTTGGCTGGTGAGTTGATGAGCACAGCCTCTCTGAAGTTGAAATAGCTTTTCATGGAGCAAACTGGAACTGGGCAGCCAGCAGGGCCGGGGGCAGGTCATGGAGTTGCCTACCATAGCTGGAATGGAGGGAGAGGATAACAAGACTTGAGGCCAACACTGGTGTGTACTGCTTTAGAGTTTTCAAAGCACCTGAACGTAAAGGTCACAAAATGACCCTGTAGGGGGCTGGGCATTGTTATCCTCACTTTGTAGATGCAGAAAAGGGCTCTGGGATCTTCGAGCACCTTGTCCAAAGTCCCAGGGCTAGAGGGTGGCAGAGGCAGGACTGAGACCCAGGCCATCTGATCCCACGTCCATCTGGTGCCCTGTCTGCTGTGCTGTCTCTGAGGGTGTAGGCAGGGTTGAGGTCTCTCTAGAACTGTGAACTGGAGATGGAAAAGCTGGACCCAACTCCTGTCTTCCTGTTCCGCCCCGAGGAGAGAGCACGGGCTGTCCTGTGTCCTACCCAGGAACTCTGGTTCTGGCACGCTCTCAAGGGCCATGCCTGCTGTCCCTCTTGTCCTTCCTTCTTCTAGTGGCCTGACGCTGCTTTTCTGTCCTCATTTTTCAGAAGTGGAGCTGCCCCTGAAGAAGGATGGGTTCACCTCAGAAAGCACCACCCTGGAAGCCTTGCTCCGCGGTGAAGGGGTTGAGAAGAAGGTGGATGCCAGAGAAGAGGAAAGCATCCAGGAAATACAGGTATTTCTGTGCCCACTGGGGCGACATCACCAGAACATCACCGTTGTGCTTCCAGAACTCCAACACTGGCTTGAGTCCTCCTCTCAAGGGCAAGGCCTGCGACTCAAATGGCCTCGTGGCACCGTTGCCAGGAAGCTGAAAAATTCTTTTCAGATTTAACCTGTCCCCGGAAGAAGTCATTGTTCCTCTCCCTTGATCTCCCTATTTAGCCATTCAAAATGTAGTTTTGAGCCTATTGGGCAGCAGGTACCATGCTAGGTCCTGGGGACACGGTGGTGAGAAGAACTCAGTGGTGGGGTGGAGAGTCCTCACCCCCGTGGAGTGAACAGTCCATAGTCCAGAAACGCTGGGGTTGTCTGCCCCAGCCAGTCCTGGGTGAGTGCCTGCCTCGCCCCCACTGCACACCCCTCCTTGGCTTTAGTTGACCAGCCGTCTCAGTTCTTGGCCAGCACTGCCCTTCCCTCCTTTGAGGCCAGTGCAGAAGTCACCTTGCAGGCATAGCACTACTGTCACATGCAGGGTCACCACGCAGGAGTATAATGGTGTGCTCTGACCATTTCTTTTTTATTTGTTTTGAGTCCCCATTGTCCGGTACAATGGTTGGCACAGAGTGTTGTAATAATATAAATTAATATGAATATTACAGCATAGTTTTTAATAATTAAATATGATTAAATTATTACAATTAAATTACATTTATGTTGTTTATATTTTATATTAAATTTTTATTTTTATAAGTATTATATGTTATAATATTACAGACATTAATTTTATACCCAATTTAATATTTATTAATTCATTAACATTATAATTACATTAGTAATAGTTCGGTTTTTGATTTGCTTCATAAATGCCATTGGTGTGTGAGGTCCATCGAGTCAGGGACCATGCTATCGTGTTCACCATCATGTCCTCTGGCCTTGCATGTGCCCAGCAGGGTCGGGTCTCAATAAAGATGTTGAAGGAGTCAGTGAATCTGGCCTCCTTCTCTGCCATTCCTGTGTTCAGATGGATGGTCAGATCTTTTCCATTTAGTTGTCACAACGTGGCTAATATTTGTCCCCTCCTCTGCTTCCCATGAGCTAGAGCCCTAGGGAAGACCTTATTGGTGTAACCTTTGTTTCTCTAACACGCCTTGGAGTCGTCTTCCATCCCTGTCTTCCTCATGCGCCCGACACCCAGTTCATCAGGAAGCCTGTGGACTGTGCCGGCAACAGACAGACATCCCTTCTCATCACATCCACCATGGCTACCCTGGTCCAAGCCACTCCCATCTCTGTCTGAGCTGTTCTGATTGCTCTCTGAGTGGGCCCCTGCTAATGGCTCAGAGGGAGCCTTTTAAAATTTAAGTCGGATCCTGTCCTTCCTGTGCTCAAAACCCTGCACTGGCCCTGTTCTCCCAGAGTAAAAGTCAAGGGCCTCTTACCTCTCTGACTTGGCTGCTTCCTCTTTGCCTCGCTCTCTCGGCTCCAGGCACACCGACCTCTTTGCTACTCCTAGAACACACCAGGCACGCTCCTGACTCAGGGCTTTGCTCTGGCTGTTTCCTCTGCCTGCAAAGTCCTCTTCCCTGACATCTGCTCGGCTCTCATCCTCACTTTCTTCAAGATTTGCTCCTATGTCTTCTCTCTGACGTTTACCCTGACCACTGTATGTAATACCACATCCTGTGCCCTCCTCACCCCCGATACTCCTGATTCTCACTCTGCTTTCCTTTTCTTGTCCCCATAGCTCTTACCACCATCTAACATACTTCATAATGTACTATTTATTATGTTATTGTCTATTTTCTATTTTCTTCCAATGGAATGTAAACTCCTCAAGGACAGGAGTCTTTGTCTATCTTGCTCACTAATATAACTCAAGCACCCAAACAGAGCCTGGCACTTAGTAGGCGCACAATAAATATTTGTTGAATGGATGCACGACCGAACGGATTCCTACAAGATGCCCCGTCCCCAGGCCTTCCTTCTCCACATTTCCTACTTTGCTAGCTGACTTTCGTCCTGAAACAGAGGTCTACTTGTGCCACCCTCTTGCTAAAAATCTCAGCTGAAAGACTTTTGTTTCCTACTAAATAAATGCAAAATGATGACTGTGACCTTCTTGGGCCTCTTCCTTCTGCTCCTAACCTGTTTTTCAGCCTTATTTCCCTCACTCCTTTACCCAATCTGTTCTTCAGCCTTCTTCCCTCCATGCCTTTGGTCACGCTATGCCCTTGATCTGGCGTATCTTTCCTTCCATCTCCATGTGTACAAATTCTACCCATCTTTTAGGCTCAGCCCCAGTGCCACCTTCCCCAGGAAGCCTTTCTTGAGTCCCCCACATCCAGGGGTATCTCTTCTTGCCTCTGGCATTTAGGATATCTAGTACTTTTATTGCTATTCATGTATTACCCCCACCCCTAGTTTTGGACTTTCAGATCTTTGATGTCAATGTCTGTCACATCTGTATTTCCCATTAGAGTATTGCTTGCTCAGTTAGTGTAATGTGTCTGAATCAGTGAACAGGACAGACCCATATCTCAGAAACCTTGATGCTCAAGTGACATTGTGACACCATCGTCATCCCCGACGTAAACTGAGTTTACTACATACAGAGCATGGGGCTGCCATCTACTGTGCTGGAAGCCCAGCCCGAGACCATAAGCCAATGAGTTTACATGTGTTTATTGGCTTTGATTATTAAAATAAAGTGCATATGTAGTAAATGGATTGTTTGTTCATTTTTTCATTCATTCATTCCACTGAAGTTTGTTGAGTGCTCCTCTGAGCAGGCTCTGTGCTGGGTCCTAGGAAACCAAGAACCCAAGAGAGACCTGCCCCCTCTGCTCATCGTTATCTTCCAGTGTGACCCACAGACGGAAAGCAAGGAAACAAACAGAATAATTGCATTTGGGGATAAGTGCCACGAAAAGGGCAGAGTATGAAGGTTCAGTATAAGTCTAGGTGTGTCCTAAGGGAGATGAGGAATTTAACCTCAGTCTTGTGGGATGAGAAGGAGCCAGCAAAGTGAGGATCCCAGGGAAGGGCTGTCCGGGCAAAGGAAGCTTCTGCTGGAAGGCCTCAAGATAGGTTCGAGCTCCTTGTGTTGAAAGAACAGACAGAAGGCCGGTGTGGCTGGAGCGTGGTGCCAGGAGAGAAGGGCCTAGGATGGAGCTGGAGTGGTGAGCGGCACAGACCATGCTGGCTTCTCAAGACATGGAAGAGGCTCTTGATTTCATGGGAAATGAAAAAGGAAGCCGTTTGGAGGATTTTAATCAGGGCAGTGAATCTGCGTTCAGTCAACATCCCTCCGGCTGCTTGGAGGGGAGAGGCAGGGCCAAAGTGGCAGGAGGGGAGTCAGTTAGGGGATTTACAGTGTTCCAGGCCAGAGATATTGGAGTCTTTAAAAAGGAATTCCTTCTTCTTCTTCTTTTTTTAAACACAACCACAAACCATTGTTATCATCACTGTAAAAACTGTTTAGAGTAACAGGGAGAAAAGTTATTTTAAAATGTGTTTATTTTCCAGATAATGACCTTGGGAAGGGGATGTAAGTGTGTTACTGGGGGATCGGTTTCATCTCTAGTTGGACACCCCTGCCCTCCACTCCTAATACAGGATGCCCCCTCTGCTTCCTGAGCCCTGACTACGACCTTTGTTAGCAACTCCTGGCTCCTCCCGAGTTATGTAGTGGCTTCTTGTGTCAGGCCCATGTTGCAGGAAATGTAAACACACTGGGGTGGCGGGTGTCACCTCTGAGGCCTGGGGCACAGGCTAGAGGTTCTAGAGACACCGGGAAGTTGATGGGGAAAGGGAGGGAGAAGTCACTCTGTTCCTGGACGATGAGGCCAGGTGGCACTTCTGGGGACTAGCTCAGCTGCCTTCACTAGTCTTTTACCTTCCAACCCAAAGTCCATATGCGGGTAATAAATACCTTCATAATAAAAAATGAGAGTGGAATCAGAATGTGCTGAGATGCCAGAGGCAATGACCTTTAAATTTGAGGCACTTGGAACTTACCAGGATTAAATGACTTCAAGACCCAGAGAGTCTGCAAGATGGCTGTGCCCACAACAACAACAGTCTGCAAGATGGCTGTGCCCACAACAACAACAGTCGTAATAAGGATACCTCGTATTTATCCTATATCTTTTCACCAAAGGCTGCAGGGCATTTGAATTGTCCTTATCTTGCTTGACTTTTGCTTGTGTTCTCACTTAGAGTTCAAGAAACCAAGATGCAGGGGGCAAGGAGGCTTGCTCTGGGCCTGGGCCAGCGTTTCCTACCTGTAGGCCAGAGGGCGTGTCCAGCAGACATGATGCTACTTCTCTGTTAGATAGCTAAGGTTGGCCCAGAGACCCGTAAGTTGTCAGTTGATGACTTCCCAAATAGACCTAGGAGAGAAGCCAGAGAAGGATTTTTAGACATGTTCTGAGTTCTTTGGAAGGATTTGGTAATTAGCAGTGTCCTGACCCCTGTGATTAGATAGAACTCTGGCAAGAAGGCAGTGGGAGAAGGTCACTGGTAACTCACTCCTGAGCTTCCTGCTTTGAGGACAGGCCTAAGGCATTATCCAGGAGGCCACTTGAACAGTGATGGTGATACCCAATGTCAGTGCAGTGCGTGCTGCTTTCTGAGCCTTTTCATAGCTGTGTGATTGTCAAACCATCTTATCATCACCACAAGGATGGGTGGATGCTGTTATCCCATATAACATGTTACCCACCCACTTTTCCAGCCTCATCTTATGCCAGTCTCTCCCTGAGCTACTGAGCTCTGGTCGCACTGGCCTCTTTCTGATGGTTAGACAAGCCATGTTCCTCTCCCGACCTCACAGGGTTTGCTCATGCTGTTCCCTCTGCTTGGAATACTTTCCCTCCCTCCTCTCTGTTCCCATTCCAAGGCTAGTCTTTTCTCCTCTTTACATCTCCACTCCTTTAGGTCACGTCCTCAGGTAAGCCTTATATGACTCTCGGATTAGGCAAAATTTCCTTCTAACACCCTCTCACAGCAGCTTGACCTTGCTTGTCACTGCTTTCCAACAGTTGTAATTATATGGTTACGTATGTTGTTTAAGTCTTTCCTCCCTTCACCAGACTGTAAAGTCCATTGGGGGCCAGGACTGTAGCCATTTTGCAGCTTGACTAGCCTAGCACCTGCTGTGTAGTCAGCACTAGACAAATGTTTGTTGGTTGAATGAATGAATGAATTCCTGCTTTGTAATTGGGGAAACAGACATGAAGAGATGATGACTCAGCCAAGTTCACTCAGTGAGCCTGTAAAGAGACCCCCGGGGCCCCTGAAGTGGAGTCCAGTGGGCTCCATGCCCCGTCCTGCTCCTCCACTCCCACTCTGGGGAGCTGAGTCCTCTGCCACAATCTATCATCCCTCCCTTAAAGGGAGTGAAGTGCTCAGGCTCCTACAGGAAGGGTATGCCATGACACACCTTGATCTTCAGACACAGGGCTGAGAACGACTGGGAAACTCCGCGCTGGTGAACTTGACCTTGCTTTGTTCATGAATTCGCTGTATGATCTTGAGCCATTGCAACTTTTCAGCCTCAGTTTATTCACCTTTAAAGTGGAAATTGGATTCTCTGCTGCTGTGTGACTCACAGGGCTGTGGGAGAGATAGAATTAAATTCATGATCTTTAAGCTCCTTTACAACTAATGTGCTGTAATAAAAATCCATTTTTCATAAGAAAATAACAATAGATGCGTATGAACAACACATTAATGTCAAATTCTGGGCAGATGAACAGGAAGTTACTTGTTTTCATCCAACAGGGCAGGATTCCGGAATGGCAGGGAAGGGAGAAATGTATTTTCATATTTCTGAGGTGGCCCTTTAGGAACAAAAGGCAAATTACATTAAAGAAAGTAAGTTTTGACAAAACATCTTGGACCCACATAGAAAAGTGTCCCTACTAGAGTGTTCTCTTTTTAGAAAACTCTTCTTGGGTGAAAAGAGTTGAAAAAGGTCAGCATTCTGGGAGGACTTGGCTGCAAGGGGCCCAAGCATTTGAAAGAAGGTTGGTACCCCCGAGAGCATCTCAGAGACCCTGCTTCCCAGGCAGTGGCAGCATCTTCATTTCGTTAAAACACAGCAACAAAACAGAACACCCCTCAAGCTACCCTCTCGTGGTTTTCTCCTTTGCATTTTATTTCTCAATCCTATTCATTTTCTTGTCATTTCAGAGGGTTTTGGAGAATGATGAAAATGTAGAGGAAGGAAATGAAGAAGAGGATCTAGAAGAGGATATTCCCAAGCGAAAGAATAGGACCAGAGGACGGGTAAGCTGGGATGCCGCGGGGAGGCCAGGGGCCAGGGAGGCCGAGGCCACGCAAGCGATTGGTCCCCAGACTCAAAGTCACGTTGCAACCAGATAGAGATCCTACCCATGGTCTTCCTTGCAGAATATTCAGAGAAGAAAACTCCAGAAGAGCTCTGACCCCAGATGATAGCCTGCAAGGATTTAGAGCTGGCAAGAGGGACAAGAGGAGGCAGAGGGTGCCCGAGGGGATGGTGAGGTCCCAGGAAGGTTGGGGGTGGGGTGAGGGTGAGGGTGGAGGATGAGGAGAATGTGACTGTTGTCCCCATTACTCGGTCATAAAAGAAGGCTGGAAGTTTCCTGTCCCTGGGGCCGCCCCAGAATGACAGGCTCAGGACACCTCCTTTGGGGTGTATTTCACTAGGTGGAGGGTAAGAGAGAGCTGGGAGGGCACGGGGACCACAGCGGATGGTTCCAGGGCAGGGGTGGCATGGGTTTTAGAGACTTGCGGGCCTGGAGTGTGGCAAGAAAAGGCCAGAAGCCTGGAAGGGCAGAGGGAAAATCCATGGTGGAAGGAATAAAAATATGAGAGTGACCTTTGAGGGGAGGGAACCTAACATGCCCACCCTCAGGCATTCAGGTGGTCGCCCAGAGTCCTCATGTTCAAGCCCAAAGGGGCTTTCTGTGGTCACTTTCAGGAGTCTAAAAGGTTGTCTGACAATAACCAGGCAGAGTGGGACCTCGGGGGTGAACTGCTGCTTTCTTTCTAAGAAGTAACTCTTGTGGGCCTGTCTAGCTCCTTCTGGCTCCAGGCAGACCCTAGCGCTCCACGGACAAGACGCTGGTCCTGGGGGCCCTGTGGGTTTGGGTCCAGTGATAATTATGGCAAGCTTCTCTATTCCCATGGTTCTCCTGCCTTAGTAGACATCAGAATCACCGGGAGAGCTATCAAAATGCAAATCCCCTGGACCGACTTCCAGAAGTTCTGATCTAGGAGGCCTGGGGTACCGCCTGAAAAGCTGTGTTAGAAGCAGGTTCCTAGGTGACTGGGGCAAGTGGTCCAGCACTGCCCACACTGAGCTAAGATGCTCTGACCTGTTGACAGGAGCTGGAATTTCTCAGTCTGGGTGGGGCGGCCCTCTGATGGGCACACCTTGTATAGTTGCTGCCCAGCTTCAGCAACGAGCAACGTGGCAACCATCTTGTTTTATCTATTCTTTACTCCAAGTTTTTGTTGGTTTATGTTTGTTTACTTTTTTTTTTTGCGTGGAATATTTGAAAGCAAGTCCTAGACATTATCATTTAACCTGCACATACCTAAATGTCTATCTCTAACAGATATCATTATCGCACCCAATAAAAATAACTCTTCTAATATCTACTACCCAGACCCTGCTCATTTTCCCCGGATTTTCTCAAAAGTGCCTTTTTATAGTTGGTTTGTTTAAGCCTCCTATATTCTGTAACATACCTCTTTCTTGCCGCACCCTACCGCACACATAGTTTTTTCTCCATGCCATTTATTTGTTGAAGAACTTGGGTAGTTGGTCTTAATGGAATTTCTCATATTCTCGATTTGGCAGACTGGTGGTATTTAATGTGTTCCTCTATTTTCTTTATTTCCTGAAAATTGGGGGTTTGATTAGAGACTTGATTAGATCAGGATATTTGTGTGCGCGTGTGAATATCTTTTTGGTGGGGCAAGTATCTTTCCTAGGTAGTGACGTGTGCTTCCTGTTGCATTGCATCAGGAGACGTATGTTGTCCAGCTGTTCTGCTTTCGGTGGTTGTGAAATTGGTCAGTGGATTTGGATAGTGTCAACCTGATCTCTCTTCATAAAAGTTCCCCATCAAGTTTTCATCAATTGTTTCATCAGCCATTGATGAACTTGCCTAGACCCATGACTTAATTGGAGGTTACAAAATAATGAATGTCTAACTCCATCATTAAAGGAGGCTTTAGAATGTGCAATTTCTGGGCCTTTTGTGAACTCCAAGAGCTGGATACCTCCAGACCTGCTTCCATCCCTTCCCTCACCTCAAACCAGACGTACTCAAGTAGATTGTGGAGAATGGTGCTCTTCCCATCTTCTCCACCCCCAACCTAAATCTAGACGATTGGACTCACAGTCAGTGAACATGAATTGGGTGTCTTCTGTAAGAATACCAGCAGTAGTGGCAGCAGCCATTTATACTTACCATATATCAGGCGTGCAATGAGGCTCATTACAATAAGAGTTACCATACAGAGAGTGATAACGATTTATACTACATTCTCTATTTCTGCATTGTCCATTATGGCAGCCACTGGCCATAGGTGGCTACTGAGCACTTGAAATGTCACTAGTCCAAATTGTGCTGCAAATGTAAAATATTAGATTTCGAAGACTTGGTGTAAAAAGAATGCAGAATATCCCTTTCCTATTTTTAAATATTGATTGCATATTGAAATGATAATATTTTGGATACATTGGGTTAAATAAAAATATGTTATTAAAATTAATTGCACCTGTTTCTCTTTTTACTCTTTTTTTAATGTGGCTACTAAAAATGATGTATGGCTCATATTATATTTCTGTTGGCCAGCATTGCTTCTTTCATGCCTGTAAGTTGGTATTATTACTCTCAGAGAGGTTAAGCAACTTGCTCAAGGTCATCCAGTCTGGTAAAGAAGAAGCCAGGATTTGAACATAGGTCTGTGCTTTTTCCACTAAGTCATGCCTGACCTAGTGCCCAGCATGTAGCCAATGACCAGTTTGTTGAATGAATGAATGAATGAATAATGGAAAAAGAAAGAAAAGTCATATTTCAACTTCATGGGAGCTGAGAGAAGGCCTGAACACAGTGAGGGGCCTGGTTGGGGCCTAGACCAGCTCCAGGCCCACCTGATGTTGGAAGGGCAGTTGAATGGCTCTACGTTGTGCAGTGACATTGTGGACATGTCACCCATGGTGGGAGCCATGGGAGGACCTGGGAGAGTGAGGATGAGTCTGCCTGTGCTGGAGTAAGTGTGAAGCTGCTTCACCCATAGCCTCAATTAAGCCACCCTTTAAAGCAGTGTATTCAAGCTGCTGCTGGCTCCTGGAGAACAGTCACTCCCATTTCTGTCGTCAGAACTGAGAGGCAGCCTAAGGCTGTAGACCTCAGTGTGTGGTCCCTGGACTGTAGCCTCAGTATCACCTGAGATCTTGTTAGAAATGTGGGACCCCAGACTCCACCCTAGAAGGACGGAATTAGAGTCTGCATTTAACAAGACCCCCAGGTGCTTTGTGTGCTAATCGAGGAAGTCGAGGCTAAGTAGTGATTATTCGGACAGCCTCTGCTTGGTGTGAACTGTGAGTTCAAATCCCAGCTCCACCATGTACTAGACTTTGGGTGAATTATGTAACCTCTGTGAGCTTGGCCAAATTATATACGTACTCTGGGCCTCAGTTTCTTCATCATTAAAATGGAGATAATAATACACAGCCAATTTTGAGTAGTTAATAAAGGCTAGATATTATCAGGAGGATACAAGCAAAGAGAACAGCTCTTGGAGCTTTGACAATGGAGATATCCTGAGGGGTGAGGGAAGTTCAGACCCAACAATTAATAATTGTGTCTATGGCAACTTTAGCCCAAGAAATCAAAGCTCTTTAAAATTCACAAAATTCCTATGAGTCATGCATGTGAGTGTTAGCAATCAATCCATCAGTCAATCAGTGAGTATTCATTGATGTGCTGTGGTGCAGTCTGGGGCTTCTCAGACTTTAGTGTGCACATGAAGCACCTGGTGATCTTGTTAAAGTGCACATTCTGATGCTGTTGGTCTGACAGGTGGGGACTGAGATCTTACCTGGTTAATAAGATCCCAGGTGATGCCAGTGCTGCTGGTCTGAGGACCACACTTTAAATAGCAAGGGTGTAGAGCAGTGGTTCTTGATTGTTTTTGATCTCAGGAATTCTTTACTTAAAAATTACTGAAATTGGGGCTGACCTGGTGGCGCAGCGGTTAAGTCCGCACGTTCTGCTTCAGCTGCCCGGGGTTTGCTGGTTCGGATCCTGGGTGCGGACGTGGCACCGCTTGTCAAGCCATACTGCGGCAGGTGTCCCACATCTAAAGTAGAGGAATATGGGCATGGATGTTTGCTCAGGGCCAGTCTTCCTCAGCCAAAAAGGAGGATTGGTGGCAGATGTTAGCTTAGGGCTAATCTTCCTCAACAAAAGGAAAAAAGAAAAAAAAATTACTGAAAGCCCCCCAAAAGCTATTGTTCTTGTGGGTTATAACTAGTGATACACACCGCATTAGAAATTAAAACAGAAAAAATGTTATGCTTAAGAATACCCCTAACATACAGTGTGATGACATCATCATGTCATGTAGCCTCTGGAAAACTCCGCTGTGCACTTGTGAGAGCATAGACTTCAGATAACATCTTAGTATTATTGTGAAAATAGTTTTGACATTGCAGACCCCTGAAAGAGTCTCAGGAATCCCTAAGGACCCCTGGACCACTATTTGAGAACAACTGGTGTAGAGGAATAGTGCTCTGCTTAGGACCGAGTCTGTCCTGGTTGAGGGTCTTGTAGTTTCAGGAAATGCAATAGCTTAAGCAAAAATTGGAAGTATTTGACAAGCTGTGGGTCAATGCCCCATATTTGAGCAATTTTTGAAGACTCAGACCTCAGGAAGGAGAATAAAGTAGAAGGGATTTAGGACTGTGAAAAAGTAAGGAACTCAGGTAGCTTCTAGCCTCTACTCTCCTTCCTTCATTCTTCTTTCACAAGATGGTCTTTCCTGCTTCTCTGTGCACATGGCCGCATAGCTCCTGAATTTATGAGTCCCCAGTTCAAGTGACCTGTACTAACTAGAGCCACTGTTTCCCAATTCAAAGTCCCTTGGAAGTAGAATCTGATTGGCCCAGCTTGGGTCAGGTGTCTGCTCCTGAGCCGGTCAATCAACTGTGGCCAGTGGGGAAGGGACATGTGGTATAATCATGGCTGCCATGGCCCCCCAACGGGTGAATGGGAAGGTGAAGTGGGGAGGAGTGGGGTGGAGTGGGTGGTTCTCAGAGAGGGAAGACTGGTTTCTTTTGGACAGTCAGCCTCAAAGTTTTCTATAATAGAATCTGGATACCTGGGTCTGCTCCTTCTACTGGCTCTGTAACAGTGGACAAGTCGTGAACCCTCTCAGAATCTGTTTCTTCAAGTGCCAAATGGGAATCCTAACGTTACCTGGTTTAACTCAGAGGGTATTGGAGGAATAAACTGAGCTAATATATGTCAAAGAGTTTTGGATGCCATGTGCCCAGCACAGTGCTAAGTATTAGGGGTTCATAATAAAGCGTGAAGTGCCATCTTTGTCCCCAAGGACCTTGGAATTAAATTGAGGAGAAAATAATAATAGTCATGATACAATTAGAAAGTAGCAGGCTTCTGACTATGCGCTAACCAAAGGCAATAAGAGTTCGGAGGAGAGAGAAAAAGATCAACTTGGGCAAGGAGGGGAAATAACGTATCGAGCACTTCCTGTAGACAGTGCTGTCCTCTGTGGTTTCACACACCCTCAGCTCCAACCCTCTCAGCAACTCTGCAATAAAGGTGTTGCTAGGCCTGTTTTTCAGTTGAGAAAACGAATGCTTAGGGAAGTAACTTGTCCAAAGACACATAGCTGGTGTTTAAATCTAGTCTGTCTGACTTGAAAGCTGATGCTCTTTTTGCTCCTCAATGTGGCCAGAGGAAGATTCCTGGAAGAGTGGGATGTTGGCAGGGCTAAAGCATGGATCAGATGTGGACGGGCAGAGGAGAGGCTAGTCCATGACAGGGATCAATAAAAACAAAGTTGTGGACGTAGCATGAGCATGAGGTGAACCTGATGGGATTGGCACTAGGTTACCATTGGATGTGTTAAGTGGGTTTAAGATGGCAATGAATGAATGGGTGAATGAATGAATGACCACAGTTTCCTGGCCTTCACTCCTTGTCTAATTGTCCTGGGAGTCACGCAGGGTGGACTGGGTAGGGCAGTGCAGGGTTAGAACCCCAGCTAGTGGGTTCTTTGAGCAGTTCAGCCATTAATTGACGAGCTCCTGGATTAAAATTTGGAACAGAAGGGAAATATGAAGCCTAAGATGGCGTTTGAAGGAAAAAACAATAGCACTTGGATTTGGAGAATGAATGAGAGGCAGTGAAGATGATTGACTCACTGACCAACTGACTGATTCGTTCATTTATTCAGCAAATGTTTATTAAGCACTTCTTAAGTGGCTGGCCCTGTGCCAGGTTCCTAGCATAGTGGTGGCCCAAATAGACGTGTTTCCCACCCTTGTGTGGGAGAGAGAAAACCAGCTAGTACACAGCACATGTCTAAAATGTCAGACAATGCTAGGTGCTGGGATGAAACGTAGAGCAGGGCAGGAGAAAGAGAACGATGGGGAGGGTATGAGTGGACATCATCAAGCATGGAGGGCTTCTCTGAGGGTGTGACGATTGAGCAAGACAAGTTGGATTCTGAGTTTCCAAACCTGAGATAGTCCAGGAGACTGTAAGAGTGCTACTGCCACAGGAAGGGTCCCATGTAGTCCCCTCAGTGCCCTATGGCCACAATTCCCGTTTTGCAGTTGAGGAAGCTGAGGTGCAGGGCGAGTCGGGGAGCGCACCGTCCCCTGCTGGTCAACACTGCCGAGTGAGATGGAGCCTGGCTCTCAGGAAGGCAGGGCCTCTGCTTCCCGCTGGCTGCTCCCCCGAACACTGTCTCCTCCTCCTCCTCCTCCTCCTCCTCCTCCTCCTCCTCCTCGTCGCCCAGGCGGTATTTTTAGTCTCTCGGAGCCCCCTCCCGATCTGAGCCGCCGTCGCGTCCGTCATTCTGCTTGACTTGCTTTCACCTGCTCTGAGGCGGCTGTGACAGGGCTGCGGGCTGCACACGTCAAGCTGTCCCTGGCTTCACTGAGGGGGCATGGTGGGGCAAGGGCAGCTGAGGGTGACCACCCTGGGCGTGTGGGCAGGCGGGGAGGCCTGTCAGTGCCTAGGGTGGCTGCTGCCAGCACCTCACAGCTCCCTCTTCGGGTCAAGTCTGAGTCACGAGGGCAAGGGGAGGGGGCTGCTGGCTGTCATGTGTGCAGGGGCGGGGGGTGGGGAGGCAAGGAGAGAGAGACCTGTGGGAGGGGGGAAGGAGGGAGGTGGAATTTTGTAATTTGTTTTGGAGAGAGACAAGCTGAGGGGGTGGCAGAGGTGGTAGCTTGGCAGGTAGTGTTGATTGTGAAGTGTGTGTTTTGTGAGAGTGCGTGAGCATCAGAGGCCTGCGGTACAGGCCTTTCCGCTGTGAAAGCCCCAATGAGTATGTGTGTGTGTGTGTGAGAGAGAGTGTGAGTGTGTGTGTGTGTGTGAGAGAGTGTGAGTGTGTGTGTGTGTGTGTGTGTGTGTGTGTGAGCATTGCGGGCCTTGCCACTGTGAAGTCCCCAGAGCCACTTTTCCAGGCCAGGCCCCTGGGATCGCCCCATTTTCTCTGCATCCCAGGTTGCTGCCATGTTTTATTTCTCATCTGCTGCACCTTCCTCTCTGTCCCCAAAGACCCCAGCAGCCCTTTCCTTGCCTGGGGTTTACTGCTACTCATTACCGGAGAGTGACCTGGAGGAGGCTGGGGTGCTACACACGTGACCGGTGTGGGACTTACAGAGGTTTAAAAATAAACCCTGCCGAGCTCTCATAGCCACTGTCCCGGGGCTGCAGAGTTGCCAGCTCCCTCTCTGGCTGGCCTCTCCTCTCCTTGGAGGTAGAACTCATTCCACCTCCTCCTCCCCTAGGTTATGCTGACCTGTCTGGAGATGCACACTGGGTGGTGGTGTCAGGAGTCCAGCCCCAGGAGATGGTGAGGGGTCAAGGTCACTGTCTCTGGCTGGAGGCCTAAGGCAGACCGCATGGGGTGGCTTGGCTGCAGCTCACCCCTGTGGAGTAGGCTGAGCCGTGGAGAGACGAGCTCCCCGTAGGCTGGGCTCAGGCCCCACTGCCAGGCCTGGCTGGCTCTTGAGAGACTAGAGCAGGGGAAGTGTGAACACAGGAGCTGCGGTCCTGACTGCATGTGTGCTTCTTGTCCCTGTCAGGACTTGCTCCCAACATGCCTGTCCTCCGGTCAGGTGAGGGAAGCAGAACTGGCATGTTCGTGTGGGGTCGATGAAGCTGGAAGGCTGAGCAGTTGGAGGAAGAGGTCCTAGCGGCAACAGTGGAGTATGGGAATTCGGTAGATCCAGGCTTTGCAGTCAGAGCATCCTGAGTTTGCGTCCTGGCTCTGCACTTAGTAGCCAAGTGACCCTGGGCAAGCTACTTAACTTCTCTGGTGCCTCAGTCTCCTGACCTATAAAATGGAGCTAATAGTAGTGCCCTCCCCGCCTTGGAGTTGTGAAGGTTAATGAGATGATGCAGATGAGTGGCTGAGTGATTTGAAGCAAGTTACCTAACCTCTCTGGGCCTCAGTTTCCTGGCCTGTAAAACGGGGTGGGTATTGGTACAAATGTGATGAAAGTTGAATGAGGAGATGTAGACAAAGCGTTCAGGGACTCCCAGACTACGTGCTCGAGAACCATAGTGACAATCAGAATAATAAACATCCTGATGCCCCAATGTCTCCCCAGGCCCGTGGCTCGGCCGGTGGCAGGAGGAGGCACGACGCGGCCTCTCAGGAAGACCACGACAAACCTTACGTCTGTGACAGTAAGTATGGGCCATGCCGCCTTCCTGTCCCCGCCCCACCTTCTGTGTGCATCCCTGGCTAGCAGCCCCTAGCCTCAGGCTCGCTGGCTGCTCCTCTCTAGCCTGCAGCCCCAGCCCGTGTGCCTGCTGTCACTACCTGCCGTCGTCGCTACTGCGGCTGGCCCCACAGTTCTGCATGAGGGGGAGGGCCCGGGAGGCCTCCCCGCCTTCGACTCTGCGCCCTCTCTGGCAGCGCCGTCTTTCGTGGCTTTCCTCCGGCTCGCTCTCTTTCATTCTCTCTGTCTCCTTAAGATTCATCCTCTGTTTCTTTCTCTATTTCAGAGAGTTACAACCAAAAGCATAACTCAAAATCCTCTGACAAAGACGCTTGGCCCCCGAGGCTTTGTCGTTTGCTTCCCTTTAATTCCCTTCTCACTCTCTCTCTCTGTCTCTCTCTCTCCTGTCCTAGGTAGGGTACGTTATGAATCTTTCTCTGTTGATGACTTAGTTTAATACATGGCCCTCGATCCATCTCCAGCCTTCCTTGCTTGCTTCAGAGACATCTTTTGGACAAGCGACTGCCTGGCTCCTGGGTTTAGGCTCTGCAGACAGAGCTGGGGGAATGCTGAGGGAGAGAACGGCAGGGAGCAGTGGCACTCGGTGGACTTCCAGAAATCTCCAGCTTTCCCAGGGATTGCTGTGGGCTCGAGCGAGCTTTTTTCTCTCTCACCTACCAGAGCACTGGGTGGTGGGTCTGAAATCCTTGCCCCAGTTGTCTTCTCACTGTATCGGGCGCCATCTGCTCATTCCACGGCAAGGGAGGCCCTCAAAACCACTTTCCCTGACCGTCTTCTCTTCCCATCTTCTCCTCTCTGAGGACGCAGAGCTCTGCCAAGGGGGAGAAGGGGCTGCAGAGGGAATGGCAGGGCCCTGGCCCGGTGGTGCCTCTGGGCGCCCCACCAGTGTCTGCAGTCTCCGTGCAAGCGGAGAGAGAACCGGGCAGGATGGGGTGCACCGGGGCTGGTGCGTTTTCCTCCCTCTTCACTGGCCTCTTTTGATTTCAAAAAGTTGTTCTGTGCTAGTGGTGTGACAGCTAGTTGGAGAACGTTTTGCTAGAAGAAATCCAACTCCGTGACCCCCATTTGGCTGTTTAATACACCGTGCAGATGACATTCCTGCAGGTACGTCTCCATCCCACAGCAATTCCGTTTCAGGATGAGGAGAGAGCAGGGCACGGGGTCCGATTCCTCTTGGCAATACCAGGAGGTGCCTGCTTCTGCCTGGGTCTCACTTCCTGGGTGGGTTCAGTTTTGTTCTGACGGATGAAAGCCCAAGCCTGCTAGCTCTTGGGAGGCTGGCTCTGGGCTGTGAAGAGTCCTTCCGACCCCCATGGAGCGGGCTTTCCAGCTGTGCCTGGCTGGAGCAGCCCAGCCATCAAGAATGCCAACCCCTGCTTTGGAACTGGCGCATTGCCACTCGGTTGCTTTTAAAAAGCCTTGTTTTTATTATGTGATTTTTCTGCTACCAGAGACAGTGGGATTACTTTTTGCTCTATCTCTACAGTTTTCATTGGATTCTCAGCCAGTCATAGTGCCATATATTCCCAGACACACGCACGCGCCCTTCTTCACCAGCCCCTCAGTTCCTCTCTTCACTTCTTTGTCTCTGACGCTGCCTCCTTGCATGTGACCCCCGTGGAGCACCCTTTGTGGGTGTCCCTCTCTTGCCTCGCTCGCTCCCCTCTTTCTGCCCAAAGTCCTTGCACCACACCCACTCCCCCAGGCTCCTGTGGCTTTGTTGAGGGTCTCTCAGTGCCCTTCGCTGTTTCCTGTTCCCCTCCCCGCAGGGTCTCTTCCTCCTCCTGTTTACACCGGGTGGTGCTTGGGCGGCCTAGTCGCAGGCCTGATGTTGGCTTTCTGGAAGTCTCAGCGGCTGATTTCTTGGCTCTGCCCCTGCAGGCGCTACCTCCCTTTTCCTCCCTCAGCAGAGCAAGGTCCACCGTAGATTACCCTTCTCTCTTAGGAAATCGTGTGGCAGCACAGTGATTAATAGACTTTATTTTTATCTGGTGCCCTTCAGACGTGTGATCCTTTGGGATAGGAATGACCTTTGGAGAGGTCATGAGGCCCACACTCCACCCCCGAACTGAGCAAGGAATGCTTTTAATAATCTCTAATGCATCCTGAGTAGAGAGGTGTCTGGTCACCTCCTTGAATGTCCCCAGGGATGCTGTTGCCATAAGCTGCCCTTTCTTCTGTGATTCCAACTGTGCTTTGAATGATTGTTTTCCCTTAATAGGAGCCGAAATTTTTCTCTCCTACAGGCCCCCTTATCTTTTGTGCATCTTTTCCCGACAAATAGGCACATTCAGCATTTTGTCTATTCTGGAGCCCTCTGAACATCCCCTTGGATTCTTGGTTTACCCAGGGCCACATCCCATAATCTCTGCGACAGCCTGCTCTGCATTCTCTTCTGGGTTTACAGTTAAGCTCAGCACTCCCATTGGAAGTAGCACCAAGGCCAAGTGGCTCAAAGAGTAGCAGACCAATTTCCTTGTTTATTTTACACATCAGCCCTTAACACAACCCATGTCGGTAGAGAATAGAAGTGTTTGGCCAGCCCGTTGCACTGTGCACCATCTCAACGACTTCCCACGCCGTACCTGTCCTGACCCCAGCCTAACGCCTCTCCAGGTGTGTGCTCTTCTCTTCTGATGCATTTGATTATTCCTTCATCCATAAATCACTCTGCATCTGCCCTATTGAGTCTCAATAAAGAGATACAATAATATGTGACTTCAATAGACAAGATTCAATAAAGGCACATTTAAAGCCGTTGCCCAGTAGTTAAATTTTATTCTCCATAGATTCACAATCCCTGCCATGTTAGTATCATCTGTGGTTTGATTTGCATAATCCTCACTTCATCTTTTGAGTTATTTATGAAAATATTAGGCCACCTTGGACCCCACCACCTCTTTCTGAGTTTACGTGGAGTAGTAATAGCTATTTTTCAGATGCAATTGTATTTAACCCTTCCTGGTATATATTCCTAAATATAGTTGTCCTATTATGTTCTTGGTCCAAGCTTCCCTTTCAAGATGGGTGGTTGAAATATTATCTTAGCTGCTAACTTCAGGTGATAGATGGTTTGCCTGTTGCTTTTCACTCAGCCATTGAATTTGTTCCATCTTGGAGAAATATTAAATCATTTGAACTTAATTTACTTTTTACCCAATCCATGGTGTGTGTATGTAGATGAATACTTCATTTTCCAGCAAGTAACCAATGTCTATTAATTATCCTGAAAGTTTACCAAGCTTAAGGATTAAAGTTCTGTTTCTTCCCTTTCAATCTCTTGCTGAAGGACGAGTGTTATCCACAAACAAGGCAACTGAATAAGACTCTGTGGGAAAGTCTGTCAGTGTTTGTCCAGGCGTGGACCTGGACCCCCTGCACAGAGATAACCTAGGCGTTTATTAAAATGTGGATTCCCAGGCCTCACAGCAGACCTCCTGTATCAGAGCCTCTGGGAGCGGGCCCAGGAACCTGTATGTTTTGAGAGCTCCTGGGGGCCACTTAAGAATATTGACTCTTGAAAATGACTGGTGTACTTCCTTCAAGTTCGGAGGCTTCTGGCCTCGTGACTGGCCCCTTCAGTATTCCCTGCTCTTTGCATCTGGAAGTTCTAGAGTCTCAGGAACTCTCCAGGCAGAATGCCACTGGCTTGTATCATTGTTTTAGTTGGTCTCTTTAGAATCTTTCCTTTCAATTCTTTCAGCATTGGTATAAGGCTCAGCCGCCCCATATAAAACTCAGCAATCCAGCACATGACTTTAATTTACTCAATAGCTTTAAGTCCGAATGGAATCTTTAGCCCCCTTTTGTAGGCGGATGATCACTGAAGATAGACGTATGAGAGGAATCCTTGGGTTAGGGCTACTGGGATGTTTTAGAAATCATTTCAAGAGTTTGCCTCTTCTTTTCCTAACTGCTCCCAACCCTGAATTTTCTGTTAGCATCATTGGGGCAGACTCCTGATGAGAGATCCACGTTTCCATTCTCTCTGTTCAAGGAGCTTCATAGGAAAGAAGATGGTGGTGACGGGGTGATATTCGAGGAGGGGGACATGTTGTCTCTGAGCGTTAGGCATTTAGGGAGGAGCAAGACGGCCATTTGCCCTTTTGCTGGGCACAGCAGAAGTGATCTGTGAAGTTTTTATTTACTGCCTAGATTTTAAAAATGTTTCTTAAAAAAATTTAATTTTAATTTTATTTTACTGTAGAAAGAACACAACATAAGATCTTAACAATTTCTTTTTTTTAAGGATTGGCACCTGAGCTAACATCTGTTGCCAATGTTCTTCTTTTTTTTTCCCTTCTTCTCCCCAAAGCCCCCCAGTACATAGTTGTATATTCTAGTTGTGAGTGCCTCTGGTTGTGGCATGTGGGATGCCGCCTCAGCATGGCCTGATGAGCAGTGCCATGTCCGCGCCTGGGATCAGAACCTGCGAAACCCTGGGCCGCCGAAGCGGAGCGCATGAACTTAACCACTCGGCCAGGCGGAGGCCTCAATTTCCTTCTTTTTTAAGGATGAATAGTATTCCATTGTACGTATATACCACATTTTCTTTATCCATTCATCCATTAATGGACAGTTAGGTTGTTTCCACATCTTGGCTGTTGTGAATAATGCTGCAATGAACATAGGAGTGTTAATATCCCTTTGAGATCCTGATTTCAGTTCTTTCAGATAAATACCCAGAAATGGGATTGCTGGAACACGTGGTAATTCTGGTTGTAGTCTTTTGAGGAACATCCGTACTGTTTTCCCTAAGCAGCGGCACCATTTTGCGTTCCCGCCAACTGTGTACAGTGTTCCAATTTCTTCACATCCTCGCCACGCTTATCTTTTGTTCCCAGTTTTTTCTGATCATGGTGATAACTCCTAATGGCTGCTACAGTGTGCAGAGCACTGTGCTAAGCATTTTTTGTACATTGTTTCTGGAAATCCTCACACTAA